ACGCCGCCGGCTCCCAAATTCACCACCACGTAAGATTTATGAGACCACCGAACCATCCCGCTGGGGTATCCTGCTTCCAACGGCCTGGTGCGGCAGAGGAAGGAGGACGACCGCTTTAATGTGGCTGCGGCCGGGAGGGCAGGGTCACGGCAAATACCGGCCCGGTCCTCGAAGCGTGCGAGAAGCTCCGTGCTCAACTCATGCCGCGGGCTGGGCGCAACGATTGCAGCCGCGATGGACCCGCCAAAGCCGAAGTGGCCGTTAGAGGTCAGTGCCTGCCAGCAGACCGCTGACCGCGAGCGTGCTGTTTGCTTTCTAGGAACGGGCCAGGCGCTCGGAGGTGGCAGAGGCAGGGAATAGGCACATGGCCCCATACTGAAGTTTGCTTAACTAAAGCAAGCGTTGCAGTTGGAGGTCCACGGTCACGTCCTACGAATGCTGCACCGATACGCAGAGGGGGAAAAAGTCTATTCCTGGAGCCCGCGGAGGAAACGCTCTTGCAGCTAAAGACAGCATCCTTTGTTCCCCCCTCTCCAGGCCTGGGCAGCTAAAGGAGACCATCTGTTTCTCTCCAGGACCTGAAAGGTGGTGCGCTGTATGTATAACCTACCACCGGTACGGGTACTACCTAGACCCCTTTGCTATTAGCTGCGGCAAAGAGGCCAAGAACAGACTGGGAACCCCCCAACTTAGTCTGTCAGAGTAGGCTGGTGCTGGAGAAATGCAGGGTTTCATTCCCCAGGCCTGCCAAAACCAGCGCGCCGCGTGCACGCTACGCTCAGCGCCGGGGCACTGTCGGTACAAGCCGGAAAGGTGGGGAGCTGGCTGCCGTCCCCTCTGATGTGTCTCCAGGAATAGCTGAAACATGATGGGGCTACCGAGTTCACACCCAGCTGGGAAGAGGAGCCGCTCCTTGTCATGCGGGGCCCGAGCTGAGACACCGGCAAGGCATTTTTTTGCCTTAGGAAAACCATAAATCTTTAAATATCCTGTTTCCACTGCAAAAAGAGAAGTTTCCAGACGGGGCTGGATAGCCTGCGTTCTGGGTGGCGGTGCCTCCTTTTCGGGTGTCTGCACGGAGTTGTTTTAGAAACGGCGCGCGTGCGTCAAGTCGCCTCTTCAAAGGCGACGTGGTTTTCTGTCTCCGGCTCTGCCCTCGGAGGCAGCCAGGTCGTGGCTAACAAGCCAGGAGGGATCCCAGCAGGGACGAGAAAGGGGCATAAATCAGCGGGTAAACCCCCGTGACCTTTTCCGGGAAGCGCAGTGTGGATTGCAGGTGAGGAAAGGGGCAGGGCTGGGGTGAGTTTGGAGCTAGCTACATCAGGTATCATCAAAGCCTGTTGGAGATTTGCTCCCCCCCATCCCGCTCGTCCTGGCTATGCAGGAATTTTGCCCGGGGGGAGCCCATGTGCTCTAGCCTTAGTGAACTCTGCAAGCAGGGTTTCCTCGCCTTTCGGGAGAGGCTTTTTGCATCCTAATGGCCTCTCCCTGCTGGGAAGCTCGTCTTGTTCGATCACCTGAAAAAATGCACCTTTAGTCGGTCTAATAAAAGATTATCACATCTGCCCAAAGAGCCCTTTCATCAGCTGCTCTCTCCTCCTGGCCTTTGAAGTGCCCTTTCTCTTCCCCCCTCCCCAGCCCTGGAGGGAAGAGGCTTGAGATATTCAGCAAGTGTTCGCTAGAGGGAGCAGGGATTTTTAGACCGGACTCCAGAAGCGGGAAGGAAATGTGTTTCTGGAGGAGAGGTACTTTTTGGAGCGAATTGAGTTTGGCCATTGGGAGATGCATGGTAGAGCCAGCTGTGGGGAGGGGGTCCGGATTGGGGCAATAAGGAGAGGCAGACCTTGGAGGTGACTGAGTTTGGAGAGGAAAGTCTGGGGTGGCGAGTGATGGGGCTGCGGGGTTTAAACCGGTCTGGAGTAGGTGTCGAGTCCAAGCGAGGTGTTGGTGTGCTTCACTTCTCTGCCACAGGCTTTCTGTGTGACCTTGAGTAAGTCGCTTAGCCTCACTGTTTCAATTCTCCGGTAAAGTGGGGGGATTGCAGCCCTGCATCGCCTCCCTGGGTCATAGGAAGGCGCTCAGATACCGTGGAGGTGCTGGGACTACGCCTGTGGAAGGTGGCCCATCTCAGTGCAGGTGAAGACTGGTGGACCCAGAGGGAAAGAGCCTTGGGGTCTTTCCCTCTGCAGGTCGCGCCCCGTTTGCCTCCGCCTGGGCCTGTTGTGCGGACATGCATCACGTTGTAGTTGCACCGTCTACCTTGCATGGTGCTTTTGCGGTCCCTTGGGTGCCGTTGTGGCGCCTGGCACGTCAGCTATGCCATGGGCACGACGTGGACAGCGGTCGGGCACGTGCCGCCTTGGGGAGGTTGAGGGGACCTGTGTCTGTGCCCTGTGGGTCTCTCTGCCGGGGTGACTCGCAAGATACCAAATACTACATCATGGAAACGTCTCCCAGCAGCTCTGCCTTGTCTCAGGAGGGAGCTCTGCATCTCCCCAGGGATGGTGGAGTCAGTGGGATCCCTAGAAGGTTTGTTTAGCACCTTTTGGCTCCTATACAGTGAAGGCCAATGGGTAAATTTGGTCCCTCTTACTGCAGCTCGACTGTGTCTGCTTCCCCAGCTGGCTTGGGTATGTCTAGGCCATGCCGCAGGCCAGCCCAGCTCTGCCACAGACCCTCCCGTATGACATTGGGCAAGTCACTTAACCTCAGTGGATCATCTGTGAAATGGGGAAAACGTGCAGCAGCGTGCTCTGGTGGTCACTAGTCCCGCTGACTGCCGGGGTAGAAACGGGGTCTTCCTGCTCCTTCCCACATGCGGAGTCAGGTGAAGGTAAATTGTACATTATCAGGTGACTGTAGCGGGTTGGGTTATAGAGCTAGGCAACCCCAGTCCCACCCAGTAAAGGGCACTGGCACACAGTGGCAAATATGGTGGTTGTCTGTACCCCAGAAGCATTGAGGTGCCCGAGGTGTTATGAGAAGTACGGGCCAAACAGTCCCAATCCCAGAGCTCTTCAATCCTAACTCGTCAGGAAAGGGCAGGGGAAGGACACGCCATTATCCCCATTTTACAGATGAGCCACTGAGGTGAAGTGACTTGCTAAATGTACTAAAGGAAGGTCTGTGGCAGAGGGGGGTGGCTTGAGCCCTAACCCAGTGCTTTCCCTGTTGTAACGTCCTTCCTCTTGGTTGCTTCAGTGCAGTATTGTTCCCTTGGCCCCGCTGGAGAAGCCGAGGCAGAGTTAGGGACACGATTGCGTCTAGCTGGTGTAGGTGCGTCTGTCCAGCCCAAGCTCTTACCTTTCCCCGTGCTCTTCCCTCAATGCACATCTCGCAGGAGCCAAGCTAGCCTGAGGTTGCTGCAGGAGATGGAGCCAGGAGGGCTGGGCCGCGGGCCCGGCCAAGCCAAGTCACTTGACGCGCTGCCCGTCTCGGTCAGGAGCCCGTGTCCTCTCCGTGCCATGCCTGGCACAAGCGCTCGGCTCTTTCCCACCCCTGAGCAGCAGCCGCCCCGCGCCGGCTCCTGGGTGCCAGCAACCACTCGTGCACCTGGCGCCGTATCAAAGCCCGATGTCCTGGTCACAGCGCCCGGGGAAATGTCTCTTTCCCAGCTACTGGAACTGGCCTGGGCTCCTCTATTTCCCCGTCTGCCTCAGTGGCTCTGGGGGCAGGCCTCGTCCTTGCAGGGGGGACACGGTGGCTGGGCTTGGTATCATCGGGTCAACGAGCTTTCCCCCACCCGCGCACGTCTCGTGGCATCGTTAAAAATAGAGGAGTTGCATGCATCCCCGCACGAGAAGTCTCTTCTTCCGTCGCCCTTTCTCCCCCTCCGTTGCACATGATTTTTACCTACTGAGGCTGCTTCCCCTGGATATTCATAGAGTGTAATATTCAGAGGATGCATTTATTTACCGGGCCGGGGGCAGAGAGCGATGGTACGGTCAGGCCGCGGGGGAGGATGAACCCATTATGAAGCAGCAACTGTTGAGTCTTGGGGCTGAGGCGTTATTTCGCCCCAGTGCTGTGTTAGTAGTGCGGGGCAGGTGCCAGGAAAATGTTACCCTCCCCTCCTGGCGCTGAGGGCAGAGGAAATTCTCACACTCGCAGCTCCAAAGGTGACTTTTTGGAGGGGCCTCATCTTGATTTTGCTGGGGTGGGGGGGATGGGACCTGCTGTCTCCCTTGCCGGGTGGCCCTGATGGAGGTGAGCGGCTGTGTGCTGCCTTTCTCCTGGAGCCTGGCTGCACGAGGGTTTCTTGGGCCCCGCAGCGTGGCTGTGTGCACGCGCGCGAGCGTGAGTTAATCAGAAATAACAAACAGCGCTTTTCCGCCCCGGCGCGGCGGGCAGGGGTGGGGGGCACAGCATGAAAACCTGTGCTGTGGAGGGAGCTGGTGGGGATTACAGGGCTGGGCAGGAGGCGAGGGCCAGAGGACAGGAGCATTCCTCGCATTGCTGGGAATGTCGCAC